AAATAGCCGTTTGAGGTGCCCCACTAATTTTTTTTCTCTTTTTTGCAGGTTGGAGCCGTTGGGATGAACAAAAGAAAAACAAAAGGAACTGGGTACCGGAACCGGACCGGTACCGGCGGTACCCGTACCAAAAAATAGGTACCGGAACCGGTACCGAAATGGGCGGTACCGGTTCCCGGAACCGGTGACACGGCGGCGACGGCGGTAACGATGGCGGGTACCGGCGGTACCGTTGCCGGTCACGGTACCGTACCGGTACCGTGTCCACCCCTATGTTTATGTGATAGTAGTAGCTAGCGTGGTAATTGTGCGCGCATTACACTTTTTTTTTAATAAATAGGAGTATTTGGACTGTAAATATCATAATTTGAATGATATTTAACATTTCACAATTTTTGTTGGCATTATATGTTGCCATTACTTGGCATTTTAAATCCTATTTTATATTGAAACATTGAAAATTTTATTTTGTAATCTTTATTAGATACTTCTTCAGTGAGTATAAGAGATTCCAAGTTTAGAAACAATGCATGCGTTTTAATACTCTATTGGACTCATCTTTCTTCACATATTATTTTTATTATCTGACAAAATAAAATATTCATGTTACCTTTTGTTTTATAAAAATTTGATTTAATTTTAAATATATATTTTACACAGAATAATGACTAAACTTTTTAATTTTCATATAAATTGAATTATATATAAATTTAATCAAACATTGTAAACCAAAATTATTTACTTTTCCCATAAAAAGGATCACATTTCATTTTTCGCACTCCCCTAAGAAATGATCAACTTTTCACTTTTGAAAATAATTTTAGGGCCCTTATAATTCCTCTCTTGAACATCACTTTCACTCCAATGAAATTACTTTTTCTTAAATTTGGTACAAGTTACGGAGTACGTAGTATAAGTAAAACGTCTTGATAGAACAGAGGGCGTAGAACAATTTTGTGGGATAATGATAATTTTTATTAGTAATCGTAGTTGTATTTATATTTATGGAATTTAGATATTCTTGTTGCAAATTAATAAGGAAGCTCACCCATTAATAAATAGTACACAATATCGAGCCAATAACTCAAAAAACATCAACATTATTTTACACTAACGTATTAGTCACCCACTACACCAATATGTCATTTTATGCGCCTCACCAAGTGAACAAGCTAAATAATTAAAAACTTAAATGTATAAATAGTAAATGTGTGACCAACATATTTGTTACTCCTTCTGACCCATTTTAAATTGCCTGTTTGCCTTTTTTCTCCGTCCCAATATAAGTTGTCTGTTAGTTGATTTCGTAAATTTTTAAAAATAAAATACCTAAACTACTTCTAAAATAAGTCATTTTTCTTCACTTTATCTTCTCACTCATCATCACCCCTGCTAAAAATAATGACAATTTTGAAAAAATCAACTCTATTTTTTATTTTTCTTAATTATGCCCAAAAATCAAAAGAGACGATTTAAATTGTGAATGGAGTACTTAGCATTACTCTTCCTATAAAACTAGATTTTTTTAATGCTAGTAAATACGGAGTATACTTTTTAATTACCCTAAAATATTTTGGTACTTAAAGAAGGTTTTTTTTGTCCAAAAGAATGCATTTATTCTCACAAATAAGGTTTAAGAAAAAGAATTTTTTAAAAATACATAAAAAATATGCAATAAAAACAACATTTTATAAAACCTTAAAACCACAAAAACACAATTTTTATGCAAGAAACCAAGAAAGTAATGAACTTGTACTATGGATCTGAACTTAACCTTGTAAATTGTAAATTAGCAATTTAATTTGTGTAGACTTTGTTTGATACTCATAGAATAAATAGTCTTTGAGATGAGAGAATATGTTCAAAATCCACCAAGATGGACAAACTCGAAACCATTGAAAGTTATAATACACCAAGTTCAAAACTTTATCTAATTGATTAGTCTGAAATGAGAAAGCAAAAGAGGTCTCAAAACAAAACACAACACTTGAAGATCTATCATCAGACAATGGCATTTGCTGCACTTGCAATTCTAGGCCACAAATCTGCACATTCCTTCCCAATTGGACCTGTAATAGCCGAACCTAATCCACCACACAAAATCAGCTATACATCAGTTACAAAAACCATACCCTGCCTCCAGCCCAAAATGTGCTTTAAAATGTGTCATGAACTAACTCATGGGGAACAAAAGTTCAATTTTCATCAAACCTAATGTTTATTTGTTACTCCGTAATATATGAAAAAACTAATTCAAAATATATTACTCTAATTTGACAATGGTTATCACTAAGATGCTACACCATATCATTAAGTGCATTTTTCAAAACTATTCTTACATAGGCTCTTTATATGGGACAAGAACATAACAGAAAAACTAGTGCATACCTTTCATTTCACCCTTGGGGTTGACTATAACTCCAGCATTATCTGCACATATAACCAACAAGATATATTATTAACATAACTCTAGTAAATATAATTCATCAGGTCAAAACATTGGGATTTCAGAATATCATCTCTCCAATTTGAATAAACTCAAATAACACACTTTCATTCTTACTAAGAATAAAAACATCACCCCAGGCCTCAAAGGCTCTCGCCCATTGTGGGGTAAGGGGGACAGATGCAAGGAGCCTGACCCCTTTGTTAAACATAGAGCCTGTCCAATGCAGGGTAAGGGGGGCAGATGCATGGAGGCTTACCACTGTATTAAAAAATAGAGCTGTTATTTCAGATGAACCATGATCAACATCAAACATTGCAGTGACTAACTCTTACTTCACAATCAAAAGAACAAATACTTCAAAATCATTTTGCTTCATTCATCTTACTCCAAAGTCAAATAATAGTCAATATTCCTTTCCAACACGATTCCTACTCAAGACGAAAAAACTTTATTGACCCAACATGCCAAGATAACCGACTCAGGACGGGTATTGACACTTCATAAAAATCTAACAGAGTACTAAAGGCACTGAAAAAATGTTAAGTCCAAAAGGAGCAGACATGATCTTAAATGTACACCATATCCGTAACAAGAGACAGTATCTTTTCCACACAAGTAACTGTATCAACCTGATAAACCTAGATCGATACATGACTAATGACTGGCAGTTCCATATACTGTATCATTATATTATTAGTAATACTATGTATTTAGGTTTATATAATATTGTTGAGTCCAAATGGAGCAGATATGGTCTTAAATGAAATCCATATCCGTAACGAGGGACACAATTCCTTTCCCAGACAAGTAACTGTAACAACCAAATAAACAATGGTTGATACCTGACTTATGTCTGGTCATAACACACTAGAACTGAGTTTCATTATGTTTGGTCAATGTGGAACAGAAGTATGCATGAAAAACACCAAAACTTCTGTAACGAGAGACTATGTTGATGTACCAGCCTATGAACTGCACTAACCATTAACAAGACCAGTACATGAAAAAGACTGGATATGGCCATAAAGATATGAGTATGCAACCATAAAGTTTGGAACACAACGACATGCTTAGATAAGATGAGAATGTCAAAGCAACTTTGGATTTAAACATTGCAGTTGAGCTTTGTGAAGATACCACATGCTAGAAGCTACAGACCCTAGGGCATGCTAAACTGCATCTAATTTGATTCTGTCCTATTGTCAGCAAATACCTACAGAAAATGTTAAAATTGTGCCGAACAGCGAAAAGTGAGGTCCACAACAGAACTCCCCCACTCGATTAAAATTCGAGCAAATGATTTTTCATGTTGCTGAATAAGGGAAAGCATCAAGTTATCTGGTTCATGTACAATAACTGAAAACATATGTATCATGAATATCCCTTACAGCAAGACTCAACAAATACTGAGTTCAATATGTATTGCAGCTATGCATTGTTACAATATCAACCAACAATTTTATAGATTGTGTATGTGGTGGATTTAGTGCAGAAGAAACAAAAAATTGATCATAATAAGAAACTAAAAATTGATAGAAACCACTATGGAAATTTACCAAGCTTGACAGGGGTGGTAAGGACAACATACCACCCGGGGTAAGGGAAGATTGGTTGTACAACTTTAGCTGGACATGGGAGGTATTGAGATACTATAAAATTAAACTCAAAACCACATTACCAGCAAAATTGACTAAGGGTATTAGTGTAAACACACTCAATGATAGCCCAACGACAAGTTAAGAATAAACCGTTTTCTGTCTTAATAAGCATCACATCAGACACCATTAAATCAATTGCAGACAAAACAACAAAATCAAGAGACAACTTGCCAGAAATGACTACAAAACGCAACAATTTGAGCACTAATTTACACTTCAAATTGAAATATAAATTGCACGTCAAATGCACAGCTTGATAAACAAAAGCACTAAATTGTCAAGCTAAAAACTCATAAATCTTTTAAGCTTTGCTAAAAAATGCAAAAGCAATGTAAAACTACAGAAGAAAGCGAATGAGAGAGAGAGAGTACCTTCGAAGTACATGAAAACCCCGTCCTTTCGGCGAAAAGGTTTGCGCTGACGTACGATGACAGCAGGCATGACCTTCTTCCTGAGATCGGGCTTCCCCTTCTTCACAGTGGCCATCACCATATCACCCACGCAAGCCGACGGCAGACGGTTGAGGCGACCCTTGATGCCCTTGACGGAGATAATATATAAATTCTTTGCCCCCGTGTTGTCGGCGCAGTTCACCGTCGCCGCCACCGGCAAACCCAGTGACATCCGGAACTTGTTCCCCGCCGATCCTCCGCGCCCTACATCATCATCATCGTAATTTGTCAGCTATATCAGATGAACACATTGCTAAAACAAACGTGAAATGGAGAGAAAGAATAAATCGAACCTCGCTTCGACATTTTGGTCTGGTAGATTGGAGAATAGGGTTTGGAGTATGATAGAATATATAGAATGAAGTGGCTAGGGTTTCAGTTCTGGACTTCCGGGTCTTTCTAAGCCCACTGTCATGTTGGGCTTTAACTTGATATTGTCAAAAAATATTTGAGGGATAAAATAGAATACGATGCGTCCCAATGGGTCACTCAAACTGGCCCAAGATTTTAGGAAAGGGTGCAGGATCGTCCAAAAATATTTGTCTAATTATGCAAAATAAAGTAAAATTTTAACTTTTTTAATTTATTTTATTTAAAAATTAATATAAAAATAAAAAATAATTTTTTTATAATTAAAAAATACGTCAAAGTTTTTCAAAACAAAAAGTGACAAGAATATTTTATTTAATAAATAATCGATGAAAATGTACAAATAAAAAAAATTCCTATAATTTTTAAATAGGGAATCGTGGCTTTCTTTTTGGGACGGAAAGAGTACTTTTAATCTCACACTCTTAAGACACATGTCTGAACCATGTCGGTGTCGTGTTCCCATATTCTCTCGAGTGTCGGTGGGTGCATTATCGAAGCGAATACAATGCCCACAAGCTAGCCCACAAAGAAGTGTGAGGCCCAACAAGGAAAGCCTACTAACTAGTAACAAGCACTAACAAAGAGGAACACAATGGCAAAAGGAGTTACATATCTAGATAGTATAAACAAGTCTCTCTCAACTACATTTTTGGTAAACAAAACAAAAGAAAGAAAAAAACTCACACTAGATGCAAACTCATGTACACAATGAATATCCACAAATTGATCTATGCCTTAGGAGCCAAATCTTTGTCTTGTTCCCATCACCTCCGGTACATTTTGGACCGAAAAATAGGTTCATGACTATGAATAATCGCAACAGCAATAGCGAATGACTGCAGGGGTGACAGGTTTGGTTCAAAGTGAACATAAAATAAATCGTCGCGAAGGTTCGAGACTTTCATTATTGGTACATTTTGCCTTGAGCCCTGTAAATTCATAGTTCAAACAAAAATGTCATTTTTCTCATAGGCTCAGTTTCACAAATGCGCATATAAAGATGCAATAGGACAAAAAAAAACAAAAAAAAACATTGACCCTCAACTAAATATGCCATAAAGAAACAATATGTATCCCAAGTTTTTTTCCCTGCACTGACCTGTACAAAGAGATCTATAGTTTTGCAATCTATGGATACATCGTCTTCTCCAGAAAAGGTTTCAACGGGGTTTCGTCTAGTGTTGAGAATTGTCAGCGGGCAACCAATATCCCAACCTCCACATTCGCAGTGCCCTCCCGAAGACCACCTATCTATGAGGCTAGTGGGGCCCCCGTTTCTGGTTACCGGTCCACCATGGAAACCAGCTGGTATTATTACATTAGTGGTTGTTGAGCATTCAACACTTGTGGTCTCTAAACACTTGATCTCCTGCCGAACCCTTGTTTTTTTGAGGAAATTCAAGCCCCATCCTCCGGCTCCTGCCTTCTTATGGGTGTTATTGTGAAGATGGCTTCTGACAACTATAGCAGCCTGCTCAAAATTTGTGATGAGTTGATAATCCGTGTGGTTAATGCCAGCCAAGTCAGGCTTACCACAGGTATCCATGGAACTCTCTTCAAGAATGGCATTTGTTCTTTCATCAAACTTCAACAGTTTTCTCTGCCTAAACATGTCGACCAGTCCTTTCTTTGATAGTTTTGTATTTTTTCTGCGAATGTGGTTTGAAGTTAGTGAATTATGTGCACAATCATCACTGTAACCATACAGGACAAACAGGGTCTCCATAATCTCTAACTCGTTCAGAGAGAGTGTGAAAGATGTAGAAACTGTCATTTTACCAAGAAAAGCTAATTCCGTTTCACGTATACTATCCTCTAGTTTTCCTTCTGGCCTTAAACGAAATGTGTACAAATAATCCAAACACTTGTCATCAGCTGAGTTAGCCTTGACCACATCTGCAACGTATACCTCCTTCTTACCATCCATAGAAAGAACAAAATGTGGCAAATCATCTTTCCATGTTATCTCAAGCATGCCGTGAGAAATAACAGAAGCTACAAAAGAAGACTGATCTGAGCATGTAGAGATTGTAGTTGACATAGAATAGTGCTTTCTATGTCCTGGAAATCCAACGGACGAACTAGTACTAAAGCCACCGCGAGAACTTATCACATCGGAATATTTTGGGTCCTTATAATCTAGTGATCCCATCTTTCCAGAGTTGGATCCTTGGGTACCCGGCCTGTTGAGTAAAGGGCTCTTCAGTATGTTCATCATACTCTTACTACCCGTAATTGAACCAACGATCCAATCCTCAGTAGACTTCATGACAACATTCTCACCATTACCTCCTTCCCGAGAACATTCAACAACCAAATCTGTCTTATTGTCCATCCAGATGTCATTATCTTGTCTTGAATCTAAGCTATCTGATAAAACTTCCATATCTGGGGACAAATTACAAGTGGCTACCCTAGATGCTTGAGCGTGTATAAGTTCTAGGCAACCAAGTAAAAATCTTTCATCAAAACTTATTATTTGCTTCGAAAGCTTTTCGTCTACAGCATGAGAGTTGTTGAAGAACCACCTCAAAAGAAGCAAGTGGTGCGGCTCTAAATTTGCGACTGAATTTTCTGGCAAGTTGATGTCTTCTGCTGATTCATATGTCTCATTCATAAAACAGAATGGGCATTCCCTCTCTTGATCATTCTCAACCATGTTTTTCGTTTCGGTATGCCAGCTTCAATATACCAGAAAACATTAAAGTAAATGAACTTCTGGCTTTGCCTTTTAACTGGTACTGGTAATCTTGTAGATATTCTGTTGTGATGTCGGAAAGAGAGTGTAAATAGTTTGCCTATAAGAAATCAACGGAAAACAAAATACTCCGAAAGTCAGTTTTAAAAAAGGTAACCTTTTTCTGCGTGAATTTATACTGTCAAATGACAATTAATGGACACTAACACGTTACGCCGATGATGGTAAGGTACGAGCAATATCAATAAATGAGTCTTTACAAAACCAAAACAGAGATTCCAATTGTGATATGCATAATTGCAACAGAATGAATCATCACAGACGCAAACTCCTTATTATGCCATTCTTAAAAACTTACCAAAGAAATCTCTTGTTTTCAAAAATAAAAAATATTGGAATGCAATGGGAACTATGATTAGGATTGAAGCAAACAATCAGTAAAGTAAAAGGGATAGCCATTATAAGCATTTCAAACTAAAAGCTATTTCAACACCAGGGGGAACCCAGACAATGGAGACTTGAGAGAGTGGCAATAAGAAGTAATCTTCAATCAAATAGACAAGATAAACCATTCTATCCACAAAATAAACAGCTGAAGTAAGAAAAAGAAAATATCAAACAGGAGAAAGCAGGTATTAATGTATGAAATAACTTCACCCCTATGAAACCCTAAAATCCAAGTCTCTGCTCACCTAAAGGACTTTGACGCAAATACCTAATCCACATCAAGTTCTTGACCCAAAGAGCAATATCATCTATGTAATAGAGAAAACCCAAATCCAATAAAGAAAGCATATAGCTATTCAATCTCTAATCATGGAAGACCAATTGAAAGCAAATTAACTACCAAGAAAGCATATTTTGTTTATCACACCAAAGGGGAGGAAATAAAGGGAAGAACTTTACCAACTAGAGATGGTCCAGAGCTCCTCCAAAACTTCAATTACTGTAAAAATCTGATCTTTACTTTATTTTCTTCGGAAAATAATAAGATTCTGAGAGCTGCGGTCAGCTGCCAGAGGAAATATGCAGAGAAAGAGAGATGAGGGAGGGACGGAGGGAGGGACGGAGTCAAAAACCACAAAACATAAGAAATTAGAAATTAACTGAAAAGGCTGAAGTGTGTTGAATTTTAAAGGCAGTGCCTGGACAAGAATTGGCGTAGGCCACGATTGGGTTCCTGAAAAAAAGCTCTAAACCCCCTTCCCTAAAATAGCAAGGGGTTGGAAAAATTGAAAAGACTTTGAAAATTTGGAAAAATTTGAAAGAGTTAGAAGCAGTTTTAAAAAAAAGTTTTGGAAAAAAATACTGAGTACATTTTATAAATTTTATATTTTGTTAAAGTAATTTATAATAGTATACTTTTTTTCAATTTTTAACATCTTTTTTATTTTTTTATAATGTCATTTTTATTTTGTAACAAATCATATTAGTAATACTCTGTATTTGTGTAACTCACACTCACTTTTAATTTGTTTTTACTTTTTAATAAGGAGTATCAATATCTATCACATACTTCATCGTTTCATGAAGATGTTCCTGTTTTGACTTTTAAAAAATTTAAAGAGAAAGTAATTTTGAGTTGACTTTTTAAAAATATCTTTGATATGATGAGTAAAAGTACAATGTGATGGGTAGATTATTAGTAAAAGCCTAAAAGGCATGATGTGATATGTATGTTAATAATTAATAACAGTGAAAATAATTTTTTTAATAGAAAAAATAAGAATTTTGTGGGATAAGAAAAAAAAGGGGAATGAGTTTTTGCGATGAAGAGATTATTTTTTTTGGGAAAAATTAATATAAATACTCCCAGAAATTCGAAATTTTACAATAATACTCCCAAATTTAATAAAAGACTTTGGTGCTCCCAATTAAACTATAAGTTTACATTACTACTCCCATTATGCCTAATCAGTTTTTCTTGCGCTTACATGTAAGTAATTATGCTTAGTTGACATCTTAGTTGTTTTTTTTGTTTTAATAAGAGGAAAAAATTATATAAATACTCATTGAAATTCAAAATTTTACAATAATACTCTCAAAACCAAATAAAGACTCCAGTATTCTAAAAAAATATCTTCCTTTTACGTGTTACGATGTTTCATAAAAATGGTGTGAAATCAAAAAATAAAATTATATACTCCGTATCTAAAAACTACATCATAAGATCTATAAAACTAGTAATCATATAATTATATTATTTTATCAAATATATAATTAAAATAGGTAAGCAAAGTAAATAAAATTTGATCTTGTTAATACTCTTAATAGTGAATAAGAAGATGATTTTTGGACGGAGGAGGTATTTTGTA